ACATGGTAGAAACGCTCTGAACTTGAGAACCACTAATCAAGGCTTCCTGGGTTCCAACCTAAAAAGCAAGCACCCGAAGAAGGTAAGAAATTAATGGGGCTCATCAGACAACAAAGGGAGCTGTAGGGTCACAATATCTCAGTAGCATCCTCTTCCAATCCCAAACAAGAGGTTAAAAGAAAACAATCCGCTCCAAAGTTTAGATGTGTGTTGATTGTCAGACAACAAGGGCGCTGTAGGGTCACTATATCCCAGTACCATCCTCTTCCAATCCCAAACAAAAGATTAAAAAAAAACAATCAGCTCCAATGATTAGGATTAATGTTGATTGTCAGCCTAGTTCCAGAATTTTGCAGAAAGTGCTGCTAAAAAGCAGATATTCTATCTCGATTAAGCAGAATCCGAACAAAACAAATCAGGACTCATACCTCGCCTTCTCTTTGCTCAACGGAAGCAGACTGAGAAAGCTCCACATCTGAGGACTGCTGATCTACGGCAGATAGCAACATACTGGTTGCAAATTGCTCAATATTTTCTGAAATGTAGCTTAGCTGGTAAAGTTTGTTCGCCACCTTTCAAAAGAAAAATAATACTCAATTTCAAGAAAATGAAAGAGAGCTTGCGGCTCCACAAGCAGAAGCTAAGTTTAGTTTCAATTAGCGAAATCAAGCCAATTGGGGACATAAAAAAAATATAGAGTTGTATAGAGACATATACCAGCCGAATAGCTTTTGCTCGGACATCATCTTGTGAATGGACAGCACACTGCGATAAAAAGAAAAATGCATCAGGCATCTGCACAGGCCATATATCCATACATAACGGATCACATTATCCCATGACAGCACATTAGTGGACCCTGAGATTTCTTATAGATTATCCATTTATCTCAGATTTCCTACCAAGTCCAATCCGATTTGCAAGGGTAACATAATGATTCGTGTTGAAGGAAGCAAACGAAGGAAACAGTTGGAACACAGAAGCATGATCCAAGCTGAAAACCTGTGCTGATCCTACCAAGCCCACAACTGCTGATCAAATGCTACTAATTCTTAAAGCACGACACTGCCACCAGTTACACAAATTAAAAGTTACCTTCAACGCTATATCTAAACATGCTTGCCGATCCTTTGGTCGCCCAAGAATCAAACTCCAAACAGCACCAAGACCCTGAGTGACTCGTTCAACATCACGAACCTCATTTCCATGTGAATCAAAAACATCACAATAGCACAAATTTTCCAACAATTTCAATGCTGACGTGGACAGAAGCGGAACTTCGCCCAACAGTCGACAAAACGACTTGTCAGATGCCGGGAAAGCATCAAGCAAAGATTTGGCCTGCAAAAAAAAAAAAGGATAGAACTTCAATCTGAATACCTGGTGGAAGATGATAAACCAGCGAATACAAAGAAACACTTACCGCTGCCACTAGAAATTTCTCATATATTGCAGCAGCATATGAGGGGTTTCCATTTGCATCTACAGCTATGAGAGAATGCAGATGGTATAGGATGTGAAGCAAGCTCATGCCCCTGAAAACGAGTGGAGAGAGATAAAAAAACAGAAAAAAATGAAGACAATTGAAAAAGGAACAGGTGATAAGTAGTGATAAAGCACAAGTAATTAATCAAGGAAGTTTTAAAATAGCAACTACCTTCTGTTGTCGGTAATCCACTGTTATATGTTTCTGCAGCAGCTCAACAACATCATCATCTGCGTCAATCTGAAAAAGGACAACGGCAATATAAACACAGCTGTGACACTGTAATACAGGTTGCACTGATACTACATGTCATCACCTCAAAAATCAGTAACCAGTTGGTGAGTTGAAAGTAAGATTAAAACCGACAATTTTCAGTTTCCAAACATTGATACAACAAATAGAGTAGGGAAGATTAACACAGAAGAACCAAAGAAACTTTGGGGTGAAGAAAATACACCTGAAATAAGAGACAGCCAATGGGAGATCCTTACCTGAGCAACTAACCGAGCAAGGAGTGCCATGCGCATCTGGCTTCCACAATCAGCGTCAGATAATTTCCCATAGGATTCAATAATCCGCTCAATTGCTGTGTTCCTCTCATTTCTTTGTTGTGCTTCATCCAGTTCAACATACAACGGAAGCTCGGCTAAATCCCCAAAAGTCTCCTCAGTCAGACATTCTTTTGAATCAGCAGGAGAAGAATACTCATCAGATTCCACGAAAGACGTTTCAGCATCATATGCCACTTCAAAATCTGAAACTGCTAATGCATCACGGTTGTCTTCATCAGGAAGGGAATACGAATGTTCTGGAACAATATCGGACTCTGAAGTATGAACAAGTTCCTCAGCTGTGCATGAACCCTCATCTTTCGTAGAAACTTGATCCAGTTCAGGGGTGGGTTCTTCTTTTACGTTAACTGTGTAGTTTAACGGTAAAGCATCCAGGTCATTCTCAGCAGGTGTTGGCACAGAAAATGACGAAGACTTACTTAAAGTAGAAGACCCATCAAATTCAGATTCCACGACACCAATATCATCCACAATAGATGTTGGTGCAGGCGGCATTGTACGGCGTGGATCCAGGCGGCGGGGGTCCTGCAATAATCAGACAGGAGTCATATTAGAATTAGAAAGAAAAAAACTCGGATGTTAACAGCCTGTGAGAAGAAAAAAAAAAAAGGAAAACCCACTATGATAAACAGAAATAGATGGGGGGAAATTAACTGGAGAACAGCCACATACCCGTCTCGGATCACGTTTAGAATCTGTTGGGAAGGTATTGGCATTTGATGTGTCAGCTTGAGACAAAATATTGATAGGTTGAGCAGATGTTGAAACATGAGAGGAAGGGGCTAGAGAAGTAGACTGGGTTGGAATGATAGGTGGAGCAATAACATGTGCAGGACTGGTCTGAGAGCCAAGTTGGCGACTAATTGGCAAGCTCCCAACCTTCGGTAAAGATAGAAAGGTCGTAGGCAAATGTTTCATATTAGTAATGACAATGTCAGCAAGTAGATCAGGATGAATATTTGAAATGAGAATTTCAAGTGATTCAGCCCCTCTCTCTCCTTCCCCGAGTAATGCACCAATCATAGCAATCATCTGTTCAGCAGGAGTCAAATCACCATCTACTAGGGAGGCATTAGCTGCCGTGCCATTGCCTAGAATAGAATCCTTCTCAGAATGATCAGTGTGAGTTGCCATACTCGACGGGTCATAACGAGTTCGCTTGAGAGACACCACGTGACCATTAGCTTGCTCATCAGTATCCAGGGGCATTGATCTTTTCCTCGATTGGTCCATTGAAATGACTGGTTGGTTTGATTGTTGATCATCCTAATGACCAAAGTTAATTTCATCAAGGCAGCACCAGGAGAGAGAAATTTATTAGATCATATCTTATGATAAAACGGATTAACAGTGATTGCTAGGAACTACTCTGCTTAAGGAGGCATTACCCTGGTACTGAACCTGGATTCACGTGAGCTACGCTCGCCATTCTTTATCATTCTATCAACTTGGCGGACAACTTGATCGGCAGCATCCCCAGCATTCAAGGCACGTAAAGCCATCAACAACCTATCTCTTGACTGAGAAAAGATCAGAGAGAGGGAGAAAGCAGGAAAACATCAAAAAGTTGAGGCTAGTAAGAGATGCAAAGAGGAAAACATATCATTGCAGCAGCACAATGCTCAGACATCAACAACCTGACAAGATGGAATCGGATTCATTTTATGGCTTTAGTCACAGACCCGCAGCTCAAACAATAGAGAGAAACTAATGCATTATTGTCCTGCACTTTGGCCTTCCGAGAGGACTAGACGTCTGTGTCTTGATTCCATCACAAACTTTCCTTTTTTTTAGTTTTCATTCCTTTTGGGTGATAAATAATAAAATGGATAATTAATTTCGCATATTTATTTGGCTTTTTTACTTCTGCAGGGTAAGAGCAACTGATGATCTAAATTTTACTTTGTTGAATAGATTCTTTGCATGCGGCCACAGGATAATTTTCTCTTCCAAGTTATCGAAAGATAAAGCTTAGTAGCCTTCAATCTAGCATCAGCTGATATTGATACAAACTAGTCATAATAAAGAGAGCACGATCAACTATTGCCTAAAATAAAAGGCTATAATAAGAAATCAACAATACATTTTGAAAATATCCTAGATTTCTGAAAGCTGCGTATACAAAAGATTCAAACTGACCAGAGCCAAAAGGGGAAGAGTGCACACAGAAAAAATAAAGACAATTAATATAGAAAATATTTACCTCTATAATGGTATGACTGGTGCACCGAAGGAATCCTAGAAAGGCTGTCCTCAAGGAGTACTGGATACTGACTGGAAGAACACCCTTAGCAGTCTCAAAGTTCGGATCAAAATCAAGCAATGCTGAAAGGATGATATCATAGTGGATAGGCCTCTTCCTTGCTATAGCTGAAAGACTGTTGAAAAGACAGATATGTCATGGCTCTTGGACAATTTTTCAGTATCATGAAGGCTGTACAGATTAACTACATATGATCTACCAAGGAAACAGCCAACATATTTAAGAAAGTAGAAAGGGTAAATTGCAGATAAACACATTAATTCAAAACAAAGGGCAGATGAACACAGAAATAAGAAATTCAGGAAGACAAAAAGCAAAACTAAAAGTTCAACACACTGAGCCCAGGAAATAGAACAGAAACGAGAGTTAATCAATGCCACTTTTGAGTTAATCATGACATACTGTGAAACGAGGCTACTTCTCACTAGAAGAAGGCCCTAGCAAAAGCAATGTAACATCTGAATTCACGGTATGTTCACTTCCGAACAGCAGAATAAGAATTACTTCAGTGACATCCACCCCACTCAAGTTAGAAAGAACTGATACCTAAACTTGAGTTCATTTACTAAATTATGCCAGTTTTCGATTTCGAGACTGTTTTTATTTGATATCGTCAACAGGAATGTCATTCTGAGTGTCATAAACATAAGAGCACCACATCCCTTCAATACCTTTTCTATAATACTCAGCTTTACAACAAGACAAAGAAGTAGCTTCAAGGTGAAGTCATACAGTATGCTGTTATGTCGTAGCCAAAAGGACTAACAAGCATGTAAAGAGCAGACATGACTGCTGTGAGCTGATGGGGGTGGAATCAGAATCACAATGGACCATAACAGATATCACGGGGCCATCCACAGCTTAAAAGATTGACACAATAGATTATCGGACATGGGAACTTGAAAACATAATAATGAGCAAAACATATAAAGCAGGGTCAAACCCAGTTTAAAAGTAATTTCCAATAAATAGGTATTAATTGTGTATATCAACAGTAGCAAAACAATAATACTCTCAAGTACCCGTGCATCCTCGACAGTAAGCACTACATAACAAAACCTCAACTAACAGTAGTAACTAATGGCCTGTCTAACAGGTTTATGAAGATAAATTGCGTTGCTTTGACCACCCAGTATCCCTCAGCACATGGGATGACCATTTTACCATCAGTTAACCATTCCAATAACTGGCCACTGGTGATCCAAAGAATTGTAAGAGGTGGGGATACTGTCTACACTGTAAACTTCCATTATCTGGACGGTGCAGTATCCAAGCCCAGTACATTCCGCATGAGAAAGCTGGCCAGCATGCTGCAATAACGTGACAAACAAGCAGTTGAACTTGTACTACAACTTGTTTCCAAGCCACTATCCCTCCAAAATTTTAAAGGAAAAGAATCAAGCCCAACAGGCAACATACACCCTGTAAATTACAAATAAAGTTTGAACGGGATAGTAGAAGATGAGATATCTGAATGGAAACAGACAGTTATAATCGGTTATATGTTGGTGCCCTGCCATTCAACCATGAATGATATGATTTAAAATTCTTCTTCCTCTTGTCCATCAATATCAATCATCTGAACATAAAGTTGATGAGCATGTTATTTAATCTTAATCATTTAAGAACATGACCGGATTTTTCCATCGATATATGTTATCAGAAAAGCATTGAAGCATTCCACAAGGATCTCCAGCATCAATGTAATTTTATATATATAACCTTAAAGCATAACAAATATACCATCCGACAGCAAACAAATGCAACGAACCAACTTTCATTGAGACAATATGCAACATCAATCCATGCCTCTTACCCACCTGACTTCCCTCTTCATCAGATTTTAGAGGAACAAGCAACCAAGGGACTCAAACATGGGTTGCTTTTCAATGGAAGTGAGATATAAGTTATTCAACATAAATAGATGCAGGCATGTTGCTAGGTTGCAAATAATTACACGATTTATGAGAATGAGTTCACCTTAATTAATTAATGTTTCCAACAAAGTCAATCATATCACATTGAACACAGGTGGATCTAATAACTCAAACAATAAAATTAAACGAACAATCAAACAAAAGGAGGTAACAGTTCAGTTGAGATGGATATAATGTTAGCAAGTAAGAAATTGAATGAGATAAATTGGAATTATGCATGCAACTTAATTAGACTCACCAATTAACAATGGAAATTATCAATGAACCAGGAAGACTTCTCGGCGACCCTTAGAAAATCCATAGAATACCTAAAGTCCTATTTGCATCAGACATGAAGAAAACTGGATCCAACACAGGGTGGTAACCTCCCAACCATGATATATTAAATAACCGTCTACTTCCTGCAACAACCTTGATAAATCAGTAACAAAATAAACTACATATAAAAACACAGAAAACTACATCAAAGAACTTGCACCCAAGTTCCTTCGTCAATCTTATCGTTTCAATTTCTTATTATAGATCTTAAGGGTCAAGATGCAATACCTCCCACAACACTGTTGTCGGAATCATTGGTGTCAGCTGTAAAAAGTAAAATATATGTTTCCAGAAACTTCAATGCCAGCAACTTCGGTCCAATGGAACCAGCCTAGAACAAAGTTCAAGCAACATTCAGGTTATAAACAGAGAATCTTCTGTTCAAATAAAAATGCAATTACAGGGTTACAAAGAAAATATATCATTAACCTATTTCCCAATCAAAGTATCTCGGTAATCTCAGGTCCTAGACCTGACAAGTGGAACCAATAGGGTTCAGGTCACGGAATCGCAGAATAAGCTAGACATACCTCAAAAGCCATGGAAAAAACAGAATCTTTAAATTTAAGCATCCAAAGCCAGAGTTCTTCGAGCCAGCGTTCTACTTTTCCACGTGGTGAAACTATAATTCCAGCAAAATGGAAAACAGGACATATGTAAGACACAACTGTTGGTAGAAGATTAGACAGACAGGTACTGCAGACATATTAAGAATTAAAACCACCATGTGAAGAAATAGATGTACAATAGCTAGAAGAAATGACGAAATAGAACATCAAATACTAAATTATGGAGCCCATAGAGAGGGAGGCAACCATTCTGTTTATTGAGAAACTTTAATGTAAACACAGAAAGAAGGCAGATAAGTAAACTTGCATATAGAATGTGAACAACCACATTACAGATAGGCAAAAATACACATCTTAGTAACATGGACAGTGATTATCCAGAATAACCACACAAGAGCCTTGAATAAAAGATGAAGGGAACATCGTGATTCTCCCAAACTATGGGTCTGAACCAGCAAGTACTACTTAGCTCTGCAATACGAACAAGTTGTGCCCCCCCCCCCCCCCAAACCCCATTCAACATATACACTAACTAACCATCACAATAAACTTTCGACAACAATATGTTTCTTTCCCTATTTATTCGCTAGGAAGCAGGTTTCTGTAGCATGCAACAGGATTTTTGTTAAGACAATTTCATTTTAAGACTTCCAGAGCGTTTAGCCAATAAACTTCTTTTATATGTTTGCAGTGAACAATGAAGATATTGGGTCGCTCTCCTTATTGTCATCCTACATTTTCAATCTAGTAGCAACACTAATTTCATTCTCTTTCGACAACTAATCCATAGTGATTTAAGCAAAATCCCAAAACATAAGATACAGAAAAACTTAAATTCCCATGAGGCTAAATGACTTGCAATGGGCACATCCACTGAACTCAAACATGAGAGAGAGAGAGAGAGAGATAGACCTGCAATGCCATTTCCTCCAGAACAGCACAGTAAAAATGTATGCCACTGGCAACAGCGTCCCTCGCAATGATAGGATCTGAATCTCTTAGAAGAGCCAACAAAACAGGCACTAACAGGTGACAATGTTCCATCGCTTTCATACTAATTTCACCAATTATCCTGCCAAACAGACAGAGGACATTTAAAGAGCACTGCATAATAACCACACAGATTGCAGGACAATGTCTAAGAAAACATCTAACTGGTGGATATGTAAATTTCAGCGGACCAAAATGATGAGTATAGTAGCAAGCCAAACATATCAATGCAATGCGAGTGCAAGTACATGGTCCCACAAAAGATGAAACCAGGGCACCAAACAAGTCAATTCATTATCAAAAAAACATATCAATTAATCACTATCTCCGCTTGGAAGTAGAATGCTGTTGCCTAAAACCAAAGTGAAGATACACTGTTAACTACATTACTAAAAAGGAGCGATCTTGTAAAGGATTCTAGCAGGGAACCAAGGAACTGGCGCGCAGAAGAGGGCAATTTTTAGTACGAAAATTTGCAGCAGGACAAGTAAAATATAATAATAAAAAGGAGATGGAGCGGGAATTAGGGTTTGGGTGGGAACTCACTCAAGGAGCATCTTCCTAACGAGATTGTGAGGCGAATACTGAAGGTCAACCAAGTACGGGAAGAGCTCGGCGGCCAAGGACGGGTCTACGGACAAGAGAATGTCTTTGGCCTGCCTCAGGGAAGAAAGCTTGATAGCAACATCGCCGTGCGTTCTAGCGGCGCATAGTAGAGCCACAGCCTGGTCTCTGGAAGCCATAGCTTTGGCCTGGCACTGGCAATTTGGGGCCAAGGAATTTGTTGGTGGATTAGTCGGAGGGAAGATTGGGGAGGTGGTGATGGAGCGGAGGCGTCGGCCGTCTTCTAGGGTTTAGGGCAGGAATGAGAGATGGAAGGGAGGAAACATTGGCAATTCAGAAACAGCGGTTCGCTCTTCGCTGAAGCCGGAAGTTGCAGCGCTGAGAATTGGGATGAGTGGAAGTTACAGGACTCGGAACCAAAGAAGTGAAACGAGAAGAGGCTTGATTGTCGTCGTGGCTGTGGAGACTGGGATTTATTTTCGAGGACGATGAAATTGGGCTAACACCATTTGTTATTATTTTCTCTCGAGGCACCGAAGAAGCGCGTTTGGGTTGGGCTGGGCCAATAAGGGTTGTGCGACCATCCAATTATGAACCTTGGGTTAATAGCGATGCAAGTTGATTCCAAGTTCTAAAGCCACATTAAGATCAATTGCATATGGGTTAGGGTGAATAATCATAGTTGTTTGACCCGGAATTAGTACCGGGGGATTTGTGTGGAACCTTGATCCGGACTCCCTCGTCTGATCTCCTCGGGAGTGGAAGAATCCTGTGGAGAGTCGGGGGCGGCCCCCGGGATCTACACTCCGACGCCCAAGTTAGAATAGGATATATGATAGAGTGTAGAGAGAAATGTAGAGAGATATAGGGTTTAGAGAGAGAACCATAAGTGGTAAAGTGAGGGAAGGGAGAGAAGAAGTCCCCTTGCTTGGAGGGTCTGGCCTCCTTATGTAGGAGTCGGAGGCATCGTGTGGACGCCTCCCGTTGTCATGGACGCCCCCGGTAGACTGGACGCCTCCCGTCGATGGACGCCTTCCGGTGGTGGACGCCCCCGGGTAGGCTGGACGCCTCCCGGTGATGGACGGCCCCGGGTGGACTGGACGCCTCCCGGTGTACTGGACCCTATAATGGGCTTGGGCCCAAGGTGAGATGCTTTTGTGATGGGCTTGGGCCCGTATTAGGCGGGTTAATACTAGACCCAACAATTGTATAACCCTTACATAACTAGAGTCTAGATATGATCATTTTATTTTAAGTGTAAATAGGAGACAGAGGACGAGATCCCATATGAAGCAGCTTGTCTAATGGCTGATTTGGTTGGAGATGAGACATTTTTGCCTAAAGATATCCCCTAAGAGGAAAATGCCTAAAGGTATACCCCTAGGAGGAATCATAATCCCTAAGGAGAATATGCACAAAGGCGACGCGTGTAACCCTGAGCTCACTTACTGATTAGGAGAAAGGCAAATAAATCATGATAAGGGAACCTAGGGTGGTAATCGGCCGACTATCGGTATACCGATTAGTGCTAAATTGTTGCCGACTACCGTTATCGGAATGAAACCAGTTAATAGATTAACCGACTAACTGGGTATCGGTTAGCAACCGGTTACCGTTGCAAGTAATGAAACTGGACGATTGAGATGTCGTTTCTCTTTGGCCTTCTTTTTCTCTCTAATCTCTGCCTGGCGGGTCTAACTCAGAGAAATGGAAACCCTCCCTTTCTCTTTGGTCTTCTCTTCTCCTCTCTCCTTCTGGCGACCAAGTTTTGGAACCACTAATCTTAATTCTCAATCACCAATCAGCTTCTCCTCCCACAATTCTTCCTTTCATTTTGCGACTTAGAGAAATCGAAACCCTCTCTTAATTTCAAAGAACGCTACGCACTCTCGAGCAGGACTTTTTTGGAGGAAGTTCACTCCCTTTTCTCTTTTTTTTTTAGTTTGTGTCCTTTCCTTTTTCTTCTTGGAGCTTTAATAGAGCTACCCATGTATTGGCAAAGCAGGCTCATTCATCAGGAATTCACTTGCTTATGGATTACCGCCTTTTTTGAATTTCTCCTTGTAACTGAGTTACGTCTTTGTCCCCATGCCTTCTTGGCTTACGTTGGAAAAAAAAGTGAAATCAGATTTGATGATGTCATGTGAAAAATAAGGAGTTGTTTGGATGAAATAGTTATAAAATAAGTCAATTATGTACTTTGATCCATTTCATAAATATCTCATTTCAACCACTAGGAATTGGATGAATTGGTCCGTTGGTGTTGCTTTTGGAATGATGCAATTTACAATTGTCTATTTCTGGAGATAATGGTGAACTACCAAAATGTCCTCAACTTACTGGGGTTTTTTCCTCTTTATCTATCTCATAAATATCTTCTCTTCCACCTCACAGAATACAATTCCACATCTCCCCATCTCTGGCAGACGAAGAAGCTCTCCCCACTCCCCTCAACCATAAGTTACATGGGCGACCTGGAAGACAAAGAAGAAGATTTACAGTGCAAGCGTCAACAGAAAGCTGTAGTGCAAATATCCAGAACTTCGAGAAACCCTAATCGTCCATTTTGGTAATGCTCGCATTACAAATGGAAGGTATTATCCGAAGAAGAATCAGCAAGAATCACTTTACCTGGCACAATCTTTAAAGAGAAGAATCTCGCAACTTGTCCCTCGAACGACCCGACTCCACTGGAATGACGGGGGCAAAAAGGAGAAAACGAGACAATTGAAATTGTCTCCCCCACCAGGTAATCTCAAATGTTCCATAATAGATCAAAGTGAAATCCCCCCAACACCAAATATTGCCTCATCCGATTTTGGGAGTGCTGAATGGGTCAATTTGTTCCATCCAAACGACCCCTAAATGGCTTTTCTATTTTCTCTAAGTTTTTTAATCGGCTTTTATCTTCTTCGATCTAACTTGGATTTCAAAATTTTTTCACAGATTGAACGGGTTCGTTGTGATCTACAAAATGATATCTATTTTCAAATATTTTGAGAAAATAATTCTACCACTTGTTACCACTTTCATTTAAACACGAATTTTGAAAATTTTCTCGAAAAAGAATGGTTTCATCGTGATCAATCTATGAATTTCTAGGGGGGATTTCAAGACCAAATATACCACCCTGTAAAACCCTGGTTTAGGGTGGTAACTAGTGGTATAAGAAACTCATATCCCTACCAAGAGATCATTAAAATGTCACCATCGTGAGTTGAGGATCGCTTTCTTTATTTGTGTTTATCTTGGCTGTGATATAAGAAACAGTCAGCCCCAACTGGATGACATTTCCAACTCAGCCCTCAGGCTTGTTCCAACCTTATATGTGTACTTGGGGACTTCAATTGTATTCTTCAGTCATAGAAAATGACAGGGGGTAGGAGCCCTGCATTTTTTAGCTCTTGACCAGCTAAGAGACTTCTGCTCTCAAGTTGGGTTACATGATATGGGTTTCTGTGGTTCCCAATTACCTGGTCTA